AAGCAGGCTCCCTGCAGGGAGCCTGATGTGGGCCTTGGTCCCGGGACCCAGGTCACGCCCTGGGTGGAAGGCAGTGCCAAACTGCTGAGCCACCCAGGCTGCCCTGTAGATTTTTTTTTTTTTAAGATTTTACTTATGTATTTATTTGAGAGACAGAGATAGCGAAAAAGAGCATGAATGGGGAGGAGAGGGAGAAGCAGACCACCCACTGAGCAGGGAGCCTGACAAGAGGCTCCAACCCAGGGCCCTGAGATCATGACCTAAGTCGATCACTTAACCAACTGTGAGCGACCCAGGTGCCCCCAATTTGGTAGATCAATGACAAATTTGGCACTAATATTGTCCCGATGTCAAGATTCTTGTTTTGTTATTGGCAGTTTTGAGTAAATTATTTTCTAAATCCCACATAATTTTCCCAAAAGAAACATGCAAGGATTTGAAATGTTATCCATATCTTTCCTAACCTTAAAGGAATAAAGAGAATGGTAAATTATCCTAGCTTTTAAAATAATATTCAAGAAGAATCAAGTCTACTCACTTTATATTACAATGGTCTCAGACACATATAAAAGTGACATATTCTTATACTAATAGATACTAAGGTCTTTTTCCTATTAATCTGCAGTACGGTGCAGAAAATACAGCCACAAGGTTATAACTGTACTTTTTACCCAATAACAGGAAGCACCATGCAAGTTAAAGGATAATTCTATTAAATTTATTCTCAGAGATCAGAACATATTCTACTTTAGTTCTGGATATTTATAAGCTAAAGTTCCTGACACCAAGGTTGTGGCATAAGCATGCTCTTCCTCAGCATTAGTGTTTTTCAACATTAGTGTAGCATTTTTCTTTGTCTCCTTTTCCCAAACTTTTTTTATGACAAGAGAATGACTTACGGCTTTATGCAATACACTCCAGAATAAAATGGTATAGACTGATTTCTACTATTGACTTTGGGATATATATACCTAAAGTATTATCAGGTACTAAAATACCAATTTGCTTCCTATTTTCTATGAGAGGACAGAGTAAGCGTTAAATCCTCTTTTACTTAGTAATTAAATATAGTCCATTGATACAAAAAATATGCAAAACTGCATGGTTAAAATAGAGAATCATCAGGTCTAATATGTACTCAAATCTAGATATTTTGAATGTTTTCCCCACTAAGTGAAAGGAGGGCATCAATAAAGCTGTAAGAATTTATCACTAGGGAAATGATAAAAAATATATACCAAAGTATTGTAGTTGATATAAATCTCAAAGCATAATTTAAATAAAAATAAAAAATGAGACTTTTAAGGTCTTCTATATACATTTTCACATATACTTTTAAATATGAATTGAGTAGGGACGTCTGGGTGGCTCAACAGTGGAGCATCTGCCTGTGGCCCAGGGCATGATCCCGGGGTCCTGGGATTGAGGCCCACATCGGGCTCCCCGCAGGGAGCCTGCTTCTCCCTCTTTCTGTGTCTCTGCCTCTCTCTGTGTCTGTCTCTCATGAATAAATAAAATCTTAAAAAAATATATGAATTGAGTAGATGTCATTTAGCAAAGATGAATTGAGGCGATGTCATTTAGCAAAGAGTGAATAGTAGAGCATGATTAGGGTACTGGTACAAACAAAATATTAATGGTAATGATAAATATGATAAAATTACATCAATATAAAGCCTTCCACAGATTTATTACAATAACATTCCATAAACTAAAACAAACAAATAGAAAAAATTGAAAGGAGAACATGGAGAAAGTGATACCGTGTAACTGCTCTACGATTAACAGTATTTATGGTCTCAGATACAATAAATGACTTTTATAGGATTGACTTTTGAGGACTGCAATTTTTAAAATACTTTTCATCCATCAATATGGTGAAGCATAATTACAAAGGTTGACAAGCCTCTCAATGTGTCCTGCATAGACCTCAGTGGATGGATACTTGTCAGACGCTAGGATTTGGAAACGTGACGGTAAATTAGACTTCACCCTGGCCTGCATGTTTGTACCTGAGCAAGGGACCTGGGAAGGACCTTAAGTAAGTGACATTCAAGGCAGTGACAAAGTGTGAAAATTGAATGGAAAAATAATTCTCATGTTGTATATAAAATCATTACTGCAGCAGAAATAGAGATCCTTCAAACCATCTCTAAAGATCCAGACAACATTAAATTTTGAGAAGTTTATTTTGAGAAAGAAAAAGAAAAGGAATAGGACTGTTCTCATTATTTGGTCTCTGTAGGAAAAGATCCATAAGAAAAGAACAAATCAAAGAGGTTCAAGTGCTTCTCAGTACAGAACTTAGATGGGAAAGTCTCTGAAAGTATAGTTACAGAACATTATTTGTCCTGACAGTGTTGATAGGGGAGTGTTTCTAACAAAAGCCACAGTATAAAGGGGAGAATCAGCCAGGACAAGATGATATATTCAAGTTCCGGAGAATTCATAAAGGGTTTCATGATGGGACTATATCCAAAAAAAAAAAAAAAAAAAAAAAAAAACACAAAAAACTGGGGAAACCATGTGAGTCTTAAATAGCAAGAAAATAGTTTTCAAAATTATAATAATAAATTACATAAGTAATTTCTGAGTTCAGTTTTGTAATTGAAAGCAAGGGACTGAGCATGAAATGGTGCTTGGAGGTAATTTAAACAATTCAAGCTACTTTTACTGGGCATCTCGGGTAGACGTGTACTGTGATCGATTCCTGGACACAAACGTTAATCCATTAAAAAGGGAATGTTTCTCTTTTGGTTGTTCTATGTTGTCAGGACAGAGATTGTATGAGAATTTTTCTCAAGGGCCATTTTTACTTGGTCAGGAGACAATAGCTCACTTTGTGTACTAAGTAAACTTTTCAGAGTATGGAGGGAATAATATGGTTTCCTATACTTTTGAAAGTAATAATTGAAACTCTAAAAATTAAAGTCTATAGCATATTTCACTTTCACACATTGAAATGTATGTATACATATATTTGAATAAGGAAAAAGAACATTCATGGGAGGCGACATTCTTCAGTGCTGCTCTACAGATGAAATAAAGGCTAGACGTGCCATAAATGCCGAGGAAAAATTGGCAGAAAGCAGCAAGTCTCTAGATGCACAATGAACCATTTTTACTACCATGACGTGGTGACTGGAGAAATCTGCCATATGTAACACTCTTCCAGGTTTTTTTTCTTTTCTTTTTTTTTTCAACATTTTATTTGGAAATAATTTCAGACTTAGAGAAAAAGATAAAAATTGCTCAGGGAGTTTCTATAAGCCCTTCACAGATTATATTAATTACCAAATATAGTTTATCAGCCCCAGAATTTTGTACCTTAAAACAGCAAAGATTTATTTCCTTACATAGCGTCTGAGTGTCAGGAATCTGGAAGCACTTTAGTGGAGTGTTTGTGGTTTGGAATTTTTCCTGCAGTTGTAGTCAAGTTGTTGCCTGGGGCTGCAGTCATCAAGGTGTTGGGATCTGCTTCTAGAACTCATGGCAGCAAAAAAAAAAAAAAAAAAAAAAAGAACTCCTGGCCGCAGTTGGTGGGACACTCGTTCCCTGACTCAGCACGTGGGCTTCCTTCCCCAAGGCTCACAGAGCAGGGCCAGGGCTTTCCAGGGAGGGGGAGGAAGATGGAGAAAGAGGCCTTTGAGGTCATAATGTCAGACTTCTACTCTACCAGTTCTATCCTACTGATTTTGATGGAACTATATCACTAAATCCAGCCCAAAGTAAGGACGAGGGATTTACCTTCACTTCTGGAAGGAAGACGCATCAGACTGTCCACAAATATTGAAAGCCACCAACCCACATTGCCCAAGTGTTAATATTTTATCCTGTTTGCTTTATCGCTCTCCCTACCTCTCTTATTATTTTCATTTTTGGAGGGGGACTTTTCAATGTAAGTTACACACATCATGCTCCCTTAGTCCTACAAACTTCAGTGTATATTTATTGAAAACAAATGTGTTCTTCTACATAACCCACTTTGTAATTTTCAAAATTAGAAACATTAATACAATATTATCTAATATACGGACCTTATTCAAATTTTCCACTTGTCCACAAAAGTCCTATATTAAATGAAAAAAAAATAGTCGACCTTTGAATCAGTCCAGGATTACTCGTTCCATTCAATTGTCACATTTTTCCCCTCCTTTTTCTTTTCCTTTTCTTTTTTCCTTCCATTCCTCCCTTCCTCCCTCCCCCCTTTCTCCTTCCATGCCTTCTTTTCTTCATCCATTCCTATTTTTCATTTTATTATTATCTTTTTCCTATCATTTAAACTAAACAGTATCTTGGGGTTTCTCGTTTGTCCATGCCCTTGAATCTGATAAGTAAAGAGTTTCTTTTCATACATTGTTCCTCAGGTTTGGTTTGTTGGAATATTTGATTTGATAATGGTGCTGCGTATTCTTTGGTGGAAATGCCATGGAAATGAATTCTGGTGCTCCCAGAAGAAAGTACATGTCTAACTCTCGTTCGTGGACGCCTTAATTTTGATCACTTGGTTAAAGCGACGCTTGCCAGATCTCTCTACTTTAATAGTTACTACTTTTCCCTTTGTAGATACTAAGTATCTTGCAGGAGATATTTTGAGATTATGTAAATATCTCAGTAAACCCATCAAAATTTCATTTCTGACTGATGATTTTTACTGGAAAGTATTATTACTATGATGGTTGTCAAACAGTATTTAACCATGTATATCGTTCGGCTAAATATTTACAGGAATACAACAGTATTGAACTCTAGTTAGTTGGTTTATTTTCACAGTGCTACGAATAAGCAATTCTGAACCCATGAGCGTTCTAACATTGAGAGAACAAGGAACGACATAATCTGTATTAGGAGCCATACTTCTTTCAGAGAATTACAGATACAGAAAGGGAAGAAGATCAAACGTATCCTCTGTGTGTGCACACACGAGCACACACACACACACACACACACACACACACAGACGTATACATGTATTTATTGACTCATGTCTCTTACAGGGTCTCAAATCACTGACATTCCCAGAGCAAGGAATGTATTTGGCGTTCAGAACCCATCTTTGATTTCTAAACCAACTAAAAGTAAGTAAATTTCTTGGCAAAATTGCTGATTTTGGGCCTGCTGCTGGGAAAGAGTTCGAAATAATCTTGTATGCCAGAAGTAAGGAAGTGCTCAAAGAATGATGGAGGTGTAGCAAGTGGACACGGCAGTGACCAAGTTGTGAGAACTCTGAGTGTTAAAATATAATAATAAACAGATTATAGCATGTAAAATGATTTTAAAATTATTGAATAAATAAATTCAAAGAAGAGAAAGCACTCTCCTGTAACAAAGTAAGAGTAGTGAGGGATTTAGGGAACCCTATCATATTTTAATAAACCCCACAGAATGGTCTTGGTGAGTTAAACAATATAATAGTGTTCATTTCATCTGCTAATGATGAATTACTCTGGGATCTAGTTCTTACTTGAATAAAATTGGCTGCAGATATTGTAAAATTCCCAGCTTGCTAGTTTTCTCCTACAATGATTAACCATATATGAACATGACTAAACTGATATGATTAGAGGGATAACCCTTAGTCATTATAAATTATTTTATGTATACAACTCTCAAACTCATACATAAATAAGTAATATATGAATACTAATATATACTAAATAACAGTCATTAATAACACATTGCTTGAAAAACACCTTGTATCAGTGCCCTCATACTATATATAAGAGCCTCAATCTAGATGAGTGCTACAGTCCATGTTCCACTTAAAATGGGAAATCTGATAAATGCTGCTATTTCTTTGCTGACAATTTTATCTCTGAAGAGTGAGCAAGACTTAAGGGAAACTGGTCCTATGAACAATGATCACAGAACAAGAAGTGTTGGTTGGTGATGTGAATGGGACGGAAACAGAGATACTAATCATATCATTAAGCTGCCTGAAATAGTTGTGGAAGGCAGTATTCATCATTGTCAGGCTTGTACGATAAATTTGGGGAAGGAGCATTGTAAGATGTTAAGAAAAATTTCCACTTTATCCCATCATAGAAAATTTAGATTTCTGAAAACATGAATTTATGACATTTTGCCTTAAAATTTCTCAGATTTCCCATTACTTACAAGATAGTCTGAAGCTCTTAGCATTTAATGGTATAGTCTGGCCAAATATTTTACTTGTATCTCTCAATTGCCTCAGGGTCCCATTCAGTTTCTGTAAGCATGCATACATACCACCCTCTGCTACACACACATATATACACATGCCCATACACAAAATTTATAATCTCTGTCCTTGCATTGTGTATTTGCAATTTTCTAACACAATCTGCTTTGTGAAATCTCTTTTCCTTTGGAAATTTGCTCAGCCTGGCATGTTTTCCCACTCCATCTTATCTGTTGGGCAAATCCAATATTTCTTTCAGGACATCTAATATTTTTTGTCTCTAGGTAGTCTTTTTTTTTTTCTTCTAGGTTACAGTTAGTTTCTGCATCTTCATGGTTCTCATTACTTTCAGGATACCTTTCTTAATACATATCTAAGAATTAAAAAATTACAGTCTCATGTTATATGATGAGCCTCTCAACGTTAGAAGCTGTAACTTTGTTCTCCTTTGACTTCTCAGTGACATTCACACTCTATGGATCAGACGCAAGTAAATGTTGTTTGTGAGAATCAAAATTTATATTCTGGTCATATAGTCATTAAACATAAGGTGCACTAAGACAGAATAGTGCATGGCCTTCAGTAATTGATGGGTAAACATTATAGTATAATAAATATATGTTGAACGTTTACAATTACTTCAGTTTAATTTAACTGAGGGCCGGAAATAGTGGAGATAGAGGATAGAACAGAGCACTATTTAAATATGAAGGGTTCAGAGTTTTCCCAAACTGATGATAGATATCAAGAAATGACATGAACATCAAGAATTGTAAATTCATCTGGAAATACACCTAGCTACTCCCTAGTAAAGCTGCTGAAAACCAAAGATAGAGACCATCTTAAAGAGAGTATGAAGGATGAGAACATAAGCTTCCAAGGAGAACCATTAACACAGACAGATTCTTTCTCACACTAAACTGTGGAAAGCAAAAATAGAATGATAGCTCCAAATGGGGCAAGAAAATAACTTCCACCATAGACTTCTGTATAGAACAGAAATTACCCTTCATAAATTAAGGCAAAATAGAGACCATTTTAGGCAAGTGATAATTTTAAAAATATTATTGCCAGTGAACTCACATTAAAGGAAATACTAAGGGCATTTTCCAACACAGTATTTATGGATGATGTATTTAGAAAGGGTTAAAGAAAATGAAACTAAAAGGTAAATTCAAAACACAATGCAATAAGCTGTTAAAAATATATAAAGAGCTAAGATACAGGGAAATAATAGCATGAACTATGGGAAAGTATTAAATGGAGTTGAAGAGTTTTGATGTCCTTTGTGCATGATAGAAGTACTAATATATATTAGACTTACTGACTAAAGGGTGCATGTGGCTGTAAAAATAGTTTAGAAAGAGAGGGAAAAGACAATACTAAATTAAAAAAAATATGTAAATGGCAAGAAAAGAGACATACAGGAAGAACAGATGGGGAAAGTAGAAAACAAATAACAAGATAGCAGAGGTACCTAATTATATTAGTAATTACCTAAAATGTAAGTGAAATTTAAACATTCCAATTAAAAATTAGTGTCAAGAAATAGGTTGACCTAAATATATATTGTTTATAAGAACACAAATAAATTGAAAATAAAACTATAGAAAAGATATATGCAAAGAAAATTAATCAAAAGAAAGCTTTCCAAAAACAATTTAAAAACTTTTTTTTTTAGTAATAAGAGTAAATGCACTGCTACATACAACAGTGTGGGTGAATCTCTGAAATGTAATTCTGAATTACAGTATCTATAGGTCCACTCACATGCCCTTCAAAAATAGCCTTAGTTAACTATGGTGTTAGAAGTCAGGATGCTGGTTGACCGTGACGATGAGGATGATAGGGATTGAAAAGGAGAATGTGGGGCATCTGTATTGCTGGTGATGTTTTATTTCTCATTCTGAGTGGTGATTCCACAGATACATTCCCATTGTGTTGATGCATTAAGTTATCCATTTATGGATTATATTTCTTCGTATATATCATATTTAAATAAAAGGTTTATTTTTTAAGACTAAGTTAGTGTGAAATTCATAAAGAATTTTGAAAAGGTTAGCTTATTAAAGATAACATAAGGCCAGAAGTAATGTTAATGCATCACACAAAATGCTTGTTATCTGAGTTTATATATTTGTGGCAGGGATGGATAGCAAAAATTGACTTAAAACATTTTAGCAAAAAAACAAAAATCAACAACAACAACAAAAAAACACTTTTTAGCAACCAAAATTTAAAATGCAAAATTAAAAACACAAGTTGTACAGTGTTCATGAATTGAAGATGAATTATGAATCAGAGTAATGCAAATATTCTTGGGTCAGAGACCACAGAGAAAATTCTTGTTCACCCTCAAAAAGAAAAGAAAAATGTGCAATGTACTGAATGTTATCTCTAACAATAAATTTGGAGTAAATATGGGGATGAGTTTCAAAGGACTCTAAGTCTGATTCATTAAAATAATAATAATAATAATAATAATAATAAAGTATATGAAAGGGATTTGAGGGGATGGTTTTGAAGCAAAATCCTATGCTAACATTTTAAAAATAGGCCTCTTTAGTCTATCTAAAGAGAGATTTCAATATGTCCCCCCAAAGAATTGAACATAATATTTGTTTTTGTTTTTGTTTTAAATTTTATTTATTTATGATAGTCACAGAGAGAGAGAGAGAGAGAGAGAGGCAGAGACACAGGCAGAGGGAGAAGCAGGCTCCATGCACCGGGAGCCCGACGTGGGATTCGATCCCGGGTCTCCAGGATCACGCCCTGAGCCAAAGGCAGGCGCCACCCAGGGATCCCCATAATATTTGTTTTAACTCAATTTTCATCAGTCCACTCTGTCAAGGTCACTCCCTGCCGAGTGCTTGGAGCACGGCTCTCGGGAGCTGCCAGTCTGCGCAAGGCCATATGGTGCCACCAGCAGGGGAGCAGGAGGTAAGATTAACATCCCCTGTGAAGTGGCAGGAGCCTAAGGAGCGCAGGTGCCTGACCAGAAGGCCTCGGCCTATCTACACACAGGTGGACAAACATAGTCCCTGTGATGCTTCTCCCCACAAAATAAAAGCTTAGGATGTCTTCCAGCATGTATATGGATCGAGAATCATGCCCACCGAGTTCCGCGGAACGTAGGATGATTGCCAACTTTGATCTGGAAATGTTTCCGTAAATGAAACCCCTGCATTATTGCCTCTCCCTCCCCTTGTTCTACCATCATCCCACTCTCAGAAGCCCCTAATAAACGCTTGTGCTATCATTCACCCTGTTAAAAGCTTACATGTGTTATCTATCCACTTGGAACGTTAAGCAGTCCAACCCTAGTGGCGGTGGTAATAGTCACCAAACAGTGAGCACTCGTGTGTGCCGGGTGCTGTATTAACATCTGTACATAGTCATTTAATTTAATCCTCCTAACAGCCTAAGAATTACCTTAATAGTATTATTTCTGTCTACATACATGAGAAAAATTAAAAGCACGGAAAAGTCAATAATCACCAAATGAAGTTCCAGAGCTAAGGTATAAACCCAGGTGCATATGATTGAATTTGTCGTTTAAACTGAAGGTATTGCGGTTATATTTTAATTGGTGAGAGAACTGAGGTTTAAAAAGGTAGCGTAAGCAGGGCAAAGTCATGTACGTGAAAAACCACGTAGAGTAGAGTTAAATTCAGTTCTATTTGACTTGCAAAGATTGACATCAGGGACACGTTTCTTTGATTGCAAGTGTTGCCATCCTAAGCCAACGTTTGTACCATCGCTGGGGGTTCTTCTCCGTCACCGACGGTGCAGTGCTACGGCGTTTCGGCATCTGTTCTGCATCGCACCATGACTCTCTGCAGGTGTCCTCCGGTCTGCGGCATCCCTTAGAGGTACATTTTCTCACTACCACCGTTTTACAGATAAGGATATTGAGAC